ACCGACTTCCAACCCAGCCGTCCCAGCGCGCCCATGGACCCGGCGCCGGCGATCGCCCGGATCAAGACGCCCACCAGCACGGGGGCGATGATCGACCGGATCAGCCGCAGGAACAGGTTGCTCAGGAACTCGATCCGCTCGGCCCATTGCGGCGCCGAGAGGCCGAGGCACACCCCCGCGACCATCCCGATGAGGATCCACCAGGCTAACGAGATTCTGGGGAGGCGGGGCACCGAAGCGAGGCGGGAACTCCAGCGTACCAGCGGTGATTCCCCGAGGGGCCGCTTCGGCACCCCGCCCGCGTGCGCCCTTCGTCCCGGTGGGGGTTACGGCTCAGCGGAGCGCTGCTACCACCCTCCCGAGCGCGTCGATGGACATCTCCGAAAGATTCAGCCCGTCGCCGCCCACGTTCCGGAGCAGGATCACCGCGGCGCCGGTCTCCGGCTCGATCCAGGCGGCGGCCCGGTATCCGGCCACGCTGCCCCCGTGGCCATAGGCCGTGAAACTGTCGCCGTCGCTGTCGTCCGCGCGCCGGGCCATGAAGCCGAAGCCATAGCCACTCGAAAGATCTCCGGTCGCGAACGCCTTGGTCAGGTTGTCCTGCCGGATGTTTGCGGGAATGACCCCGTCGAAAGGAGTCCCGGGGGCTCCGGTCAGAAACTGCAGGAACACCCCCAGGTCCTCGACCGTCGAATAGAGGGCGCCGTTCGGCACCTTGTAGCCGCGCCCCGCGTGTTCCCGCGCCGGCGTTTCGGCGTCGAGGCTTGTGTCGTCCTTTACGGTGAGTCCTTCCGCGATGCGGTCCTCAAGACCCGGGGTGGGGAAAAAGACGCTCGAGTCCATGCCGAGCGGATCCAGGAGGTTTTCCGCCACGTGCGCCATGAACGGCTCGCCGGAGGCCCGCTCCACGGCGGCGCCGAGCATCGCGTAGCCGATGTTCGAATACTGGTAGCGGGTACCGGGTTCGTACTCGAAGGAGGTCGCTTCGAGCGCCCGGAAGGCCGTATCGAGCCAATCTTCGGGGGCCCCCACCAGGTAGCGCGGGAGGTCCTGCGGTTCGCGGGCGAGCCCGCTGGTCATGGTTCCGAGCTGGAAAATGCTTGGTCCGGGGGTCCACGCAAAGGCGTTTTCGACCTGCTCGAGTTCCGGCACCAGAACGGCGACCGGATCCCCCAGGCGAGCCTTCCCCTGGTGGACGAGCCGCAGCATCGCCATGGCGGTGAACGGCTTCGTGATCGACCCGATGCGGAACAGATGATCGGCCCGCGCGGGAATCTCGCCCTCGGTGTCCGCGAACCCGAATCCGTCCGCGAACAGCGTTTCTCCGCCGACGAAGACCCCGAAGGCGCCGCCGCCGCGCCCGTCATCCTCGATGACGCGAAGAATTTCCTCCGCCGCGGCCGCGGCCGCCTCCGGCGCCGAGAGTGGCGCCTCGGGACCCGCTGCTGGGGTGCAACCGGCGGCGAGCACCCCGAACAAGAGCGAAACGGCCAGCAGGCGGCCGGGGCAGGGGAAGCGGAAGGGGAAGCGGAAGGGAAGGGAGGAAGACATGCCGCAGATAAAGATATCCGGGGGAGTGAGAAGAGGTCGGCGCCGCCGCCCGGGTGCTCGGCGTCGTGCCGTTTCGCGGCGCTGTCGCAGAGGGATGCCGGTCTGGAGACCGGCGGTCCCTTCCCGGTGACGGCACGCTGCTAGGATCGGCAGCGATGCGGCGGCCAGCCCTGATTCTTCCCCTGCTGATGGGCGTTGTGCCGCTCGCTGCGGCTCAGGACACCGGGGAGCGGTTGGTTCGGGTGACCGAGGGCACGAACTTCGCCGCCGCGGCGTCCCCGGACGGCGAGCGGCTCGTCCTGGATCTGCAGGGCACGCTGTGGTTGCTGCCGGCGACCGGGGGTTCGGCCGCGGCGCTCACCGATGGCCTGGGAGACGACCGGTTGCCCGACTTCCACCCCGAAGGCGACCGGGTGGCCTACCAGTCGTTCCGGAGCGGAACCTGGGACATCTGGCAGTTGGCCCTCCCCGGAGGGGAGCCCGAGCAGCTCACCGATACCGAGTTCGACGACCGGGAACCCGCCTGGTCTCCCGACGGTAGCCGGATCGCCTTTTCCTCGGACCGCTCGGGGAGCTACGACATCTGGATTCTGGATGTCGCAACGGGTGAGACGACTCCGGTTACGAGCAGCCTCGGCAACGAATCGCAACCGGCATGGACCCCGGACGGCGACGGCGTCGTCTTCGTAGCCACTGCCGAGGGCGATGCGGACAGCACCCTCCAGCGGCTCTCTCTCGCACGGGACGGCGATTCCTCAGTGATTCCCGGGTCGGCGGGGAACATCGCGGCCCCGGCGGTCAACCCGGAGGGGACTCAGGTCGTCTTTCGGCGTCTCCAGTACGAGGGACTCACCCAGATGGGTACCCGTTTCGACATCGGGACCGCGAGCGAGTGGGTGCTGGCGCCTCTTTCTGAAGAAACGGAGGTCTCCGACGGAAGTGACGGCGCGAGCGCGCCGCGAGTCCTCGCGGGAGCGGGGGAGGATCTGTTCCCCTTCCGGCCCCAGTGGCTCGACGCCCGGACCCTGCTCTATACCGCCGACGGTGGACTCCGGCGACTCGACGTGGGGCCTTCGCCGAGCGATGCCGAAGCGGAGCCTGCCGCTTCCGCGGAGACAGCCGCCGAGGTCATACCCCAGGTCATACCCATGTCCGCCGAGTTGGGCGTTCGCCGGTCTCCCGAACGTCGCGGCCGGATCCGTACCGATTCGGAAGGGGCGCTCCCGGTGCGGGGCATCATCCGTCCGAGCGTCAGTCCGGACGGGACGCGGCTTCTCTACGCCGCGCTCGGCGACATCTGGACTGCCCCGCTTGACGGCTCGGAGGCCCCCCTTCCGGTAACCCGCGACACCTGGCTCGACACCGACCCGGTGTGGCTGCCCGATGGGGAGAGCGTCCTCTTCGCGAGCGACCGCGGCGGGACGATGGACCTCTGGGAGAAGCGGCTGGACTCGGGACCCGGCGCCGGGCTCGTCCAGCTCACCGCCCGGCTTGGGGCCGAGGTGAGTCCGGCCGTGACCCGCGATGGCTCCCGGATCGCCTGGCTGGACGAAGCGGGAAACCTCCGGGTCACGAGCCGGGACCTTGATTCCGGTCCGGACTCCGAGCGGGAGGAGGCAACCGTCTATACGGCGCGGCGGGGCGCCGGCATGCCGAGTTGGTCCGCGGACGGCGAAACGGTCGCGCTCGCCAGCCTGGTTCCGTATTCCTCCCGCTACCGGGAGGGGCGGAACCGGATCGCGCTGATCGCGGCAAGCAGCGGGGAAGCAAGATTTCTCGAAGAACCGGCAACGAGTTTTGGAATGCGTGATTCCGACGGGCCGGTGTTTTCACCGGACGGCAACCGACTTGCGTTCGCACTGGGTGGCGGGCTCGCGATCCTGCGGCTTGATGCCGCCGGCGTCCCCGAGGGGCCACCCGAAACCGTCTTCGAGGGGCCCGCGGACTTTCCCTCGTGGACTCCGGACGGGGCGGCGATCGTCGCCTTGTCAGGTGCGTCGCTGCTGCGCATCGAGGCCGACGGCAGCGGTTCGGAGACCATCCGGTTGCGGCATGAGTTTCCGCTCGCGGCTCGATCGGGAACGCTGCTCATTCATGACGTCGGAGTGCTCGATGTCGAAGCAGGCGAGCTCCTGGCGGGGCAGGATGTCCTGATCGAGGCCGGCCGCATCGTCTCGGTAACCCCGGTCGGCGAGCCGCCGCCCGAAGAGATGCGGGTCGTCAACGGTGAAGGGGCAACCCTGATCCCCGGGCTCATCGAGATGCACACCCATCCGATGACTCCGGCCTTCGGCAACCGCTTCGGGCGCGCGCATCTCGCCTACGGCGTGACCTCGGTCCGCGTTCCGGCGGCCGCGAGCTACCGGGTTCTCGAGGAACGGGAGTCCATTCTGGCCGGACTGCGGGTTGGCCCGCGGATCTTCCTGACCGGCGCCCCTCTCGACGGCACCCGTATCTACTACCCGGGCGCGGCGGCGCTTTCAAGCGGACAGGAGAGGGATGCGGTCCTGCGGCTCGCGCGGGAGCTGGACTACGACGTCGTCAAGACCTATGTCCGCCTCGACGATGAGTCCCAGCGGGAAGCCATCCGCCGGGCTCAGCGCTTTGGCGCCTTCGTAACCTCCCACGAGCTGTATCCGGCGGTCCGGTACGGAATCAACGGCCTGGAACACGTCAAGGGCACCTCGCGCCGGGGCTTTTCGCCGAAGATGACGGACCTCGGCCGCTCTTACCAGGACGTCCGGACCCTGATTGCCGAATCGGGAGTGTTCTTCACCCCGACCATGCTCATCTACGGCGGGTGGGAATTGGCGCTCGCCCGCGAACCCGATCTCGTCTCCTCCGACCGTCGCATCCAGGCGTTCCCGGCGTGGCTCGCTTCCTCGCTTACGGCCCCGCGGGAACCGAGCGGGAACCGTGAGGCGCAGATTTCACGCAATCTCGCGCTGATGCGTCCCATGTGGGAGACCGTCAACTCCATCGCGGCCGCCGGGGGCCGCGTCATCGCCGGGACCGATACGCCGATCGTGCCTTACGGACTCGGCCTCGTCGTGGAGATCGAACAGTTGGCGGAGGCGGGACTTGGCCCTGCCGGAGCTCTGCGGGCGGCCACCCTCACGGCCGCCGCAGCCCTCGGGCTGGAAGGGGAACTGGGCGTCATTGCGCCGGGGGCCCTCGCCGATCTGGTGCTGCTCGACGGCAATCCCCTCGATGACATCTCGAACCTCCGCCGCGTGCGCGCCGTGCTCGCAAACGGGCGGTTGGCGACGCTGGATCAGCTTCTCGGCTTCTGACCAATAGCACAAGCAAGCCGTTGGAAGTGCACATATTTTCGGGGTCTCGCGTCGGGGCCCTGTGATACATTGCCGTGCCTCGCGCACCGTGTTCTCCGGGACTTAGTGGCGCAACGCGCCACACCGCCTGGACCAAAGAAAGGAATCAGATCGAGCATGACCAAGGTGGAACTCGTAACGACACTGTCAGAGTTTGCCGGAATCAGTCGTCGTGAAACCGCCGCGGTTCTCGACGGACTGCGTGACCTGGCGATTGAGGAACTCAAGGCTGGCAACGGCTTCATGCTCCCGGGAATCGCCAAGTTTTCGGTTGCTCACCGGGAAGCGAGAATGGGCCGGAACGTCCGCACGGGGGAAGCCATCGAGATCCCGGCGCGGAATGTGGTGAAATGTAAGGTTTCACGTCCCTTCCAATCCGACTGCTGCGACTAGCAGCCCGTTCGGAGGCCCGCCGCCGCGCGGCGGGCTTGGCGCCACTTTGCCGAGGTCCCGAAGCGCCCAATCCAAAGCGCCGGTTGCGCGGATTACCCTGAAACGGATATGCCTTAGCGGGTCACTTCATCTGTGGATTGCCAAAGGGAGGGCTTCGTCGCGTTGACCACCGGCCGGGCTGAGCGCGTATCGGGGGCGTCGCCCCCGCTGTATCCGGCGACCGACCTTTCGGGGTATCGGGACGATGCGGCGCTCTGGCGCAGCGTGCCGATGGAGTTGGTGCGGCGCCACCGTTTCGTGCCGCTGGCTGAAGATGGCGAGCGGCTCTCCATCGTGGTGGTGCCTCCGGTAGTCGAATCCGAGGTGGACCGGCTCGAGCTGCTGCTCCGGCGTCCCATCGTCGTGCATGTGGGGGATCCGGCACAGATCGATACCATCATCGAAAGGAACACCAACTCCAGCTTCCTGCTGGACCGCGCGTCCGAGGATCTGCGGATCGAGAGGCTCGAACGCGGCGACGGAGGTTCCGGCCCGCCGCTCATTTCACTCGACACACTGGAAGACGGTCAGACCGGCAGCCCCGTGGTCCGACTGGTGGATTCGCTGCTCGTGAACGCCATCGAGCGGCGCGCCACCGACATCCACATCGAGACCAAGTCCGGGGAGGTCGTTCTGAAGTATCGGGTGGACGGCATTCTCTATCCGGCGATGGAGCCGGTGGACCGGGCGCACCATCAGACGATTGTCGCCCGGCTCAAGGTGATGGCGGAACTCGACGTCGCGGAGCGCCGGGTACCGCAGGATGGACGGTTCCGGGCGGTGCTTCCCGGCGGAGGCGATCGCAGTCCCCGAACCGTGGACTTCCGGGTTTCGGTCATGCCGAGCGTGCACGGTGAAGACGTCGTCATCCGGGTGCTCGACAAGCGCAGCCTCGGGACCCGCTTCGAGGCGCTGTCGCTGGAAGCGCTCGGGTTTTCGGGCCGGGAGCTCGGGCTCCTGCGCGAACACGCGCGCCGACCCTTCGGAATGCTGCTCGCCACCGGCCCCACCGGAAGCGGCAAGACGACGACCCTCTACGCCGTGCTCTCCGAGATCGCGACCGCGGAGGAAAAGTTCGTCACCGTCGAGGATCCCGTCGAATACGAGATCGCGGGAGTCACCCAGGTTCCGGTGAACGAGAAGAAGGGCCTCACTTTCGCTCGCGGCCTACGGTCCATCCTGCGACACGACCCGGACACGATCATGGTGGGCGAGGTTCGCGATCCGGAGACGGCCTCGATCGCGGTCCAGGCAGCGCTGACCGGGCATCTGGTCTTCACCACGGTGCATGCCAACCACGCGCTCGACGTGGTGGGGCGCTTCCTGCACATGGGGGCGGACCCTCACAATTTCGTTTCCGCACTGAACTGCATCGTGGCTCAGCGGCTGGTCCGGGTGCTGTGCCGCGCCTGCCGCCAACCGGGGGAACCCGATGCGGCCGAGCGGGAGGCTCTGGTGGATCTCGCATCGCGACCGGACCGGCTCTTTCGGCCGCGGGGCTGCCGGAAATGCGACGGAGCGGGGTACCGGGGACGAACGGTGGTAGCCGAGATTCTGTCGCTCAGCTCTCGGGTTCGGGAACTCATCCTGGCGCGGCAGGGAGGTCCCGCGATCCGGGCGCAGGCCGAAGCGGAAGGGATGGTTTCGCTGCGCCGGAATGCTCTCGAACTCGTGGCGCGCGGAGTGACGACTCTCTCCGAGGTCGATCGGGTAACGGCCCGTGAGACCTGACACGCCTGCCGGACCGGGAGGTCGCGGGTGACCCTTTCCAGCGACACCTTCGCCCGGCCGGACCCACTGCCGCGGGCGGATCTCGCCGCGCGGCTCCTGGCCCGGGACCAACTCTCTTCCGATGCCCAACTGCTCCGCTTCGAAAGTGAGGCGCCGCTTCGGGCTTTGCCGGGCCAGTTCACCATGGTGCGGGTCGAAGGCGGAGGGTTGCTGCGGCGGCCGTATTCCTTCTGCGACCTGCTGGAGGACGGTGCGTTCACCCTGCTGGTCAAGGAGGTCGGGATCGGAACCCGCGCGCTCATGAAGATGCCGGTCGGCGGGGCGGTATCCAGCCTGGGCCCGCTCGGGACCACGTTCGATCCGCCCCCTCCGGGCCTGACGCCGGTCATCGTCGCCGGTGGAGTGGGAATCGCGCCCTTCGTGCTCTTTTGCCGCCGCCTGGCCGAAACCGGACGCCGCGGGATCGTCCTGCTCGGGGGCCGGCGCCGTCCCGACCTCTATCTCCGGGACGCCTTCGAGGGTTTCGGGATGGACGTGCGGGTTGCGAGCGAGGACGGAAGCGCCGGCCACCACGGGCGCGTGACCGAGTTGCTCGACGCCGCCCTCGCGGACGCGGGCCGGCCGCAGCTCTACTCCTGTGGTCCGACCGGAATGCTGCTTCGCGTCGCGGAGGCAGGAGCCGACGCCGGCGTTCCTCATCAGGTCTCGATCGAGCGACGGATGGGCTGCGGGATGGGTTGTTGTTTGGGTTGCGTCGTCTGGGCCCGGCCGCCTTCCGGCGGCCCGGAGGAATACCTTCGGAGTTGCACCGAAGGACCGGTGTTCGACGCCGGAACAATCGCGTGGGACCAGGATCCCCACCCTCTTTAGCAGCCCGTGGAAAAAGCACCCCGTATGCCAGCCGCCGCGCGCGACGCGCGAAATCTACGGATTTCTCCGAATGCGGGGCGCTTTTCCCACCGGATGCCGGCGCGAATCGCTACGCCATTCACGCCCCGGTCTTGCGTGGGCAGGAGAAACCCCTCCCCACACCCCACCCGTGCGGCGCTCCGCGCCGCGGGTACTCGATGGGCGACTTTCGCCATCGGTCTCTGATGACTCCCGTCGCCTCGCCGTCCGTCGACATGCCGTCCGTCGATATGGGAGTGGAAATCGCCGGTCTGAAGTTGCCCACGCCCCTGATTGCCGCCAGCGGAACCTTCGGCTACGGCGACGAGTACCAGCAGGTGGCGGACTACGACTGCATCGGAGCGATCTCGGTCAAGGGGCTGTATCTCGAACCCCGAAAGGGATGTCCGCCTCCGCGAATCTGGGAGACGCCGTCCGGTATGCTGAACGCCATCGGACTTCAGGAGGTCGGAATCCGGCGTTTCCTGGCCGAGAAGCTTCCGGTCGTCCGGGCCCTCGGCAAGATCGTCATTGCCAACATCTGCGGCAGTTCGCTCGCCGAGTACGGCGAGTTGGCCAGGATCCTCGACCAGGCGGAGGGGGTTGCCGGCATCGAAGTGAACATTTCGTGTCCCAACGTTGCCGAGGGAGGGATCGAGTTCGGATGTGACCCGGACATGGCGGCGCGGGCCACTGAGGTGGTGCGCCGGGGGACCCGACTGCCGGTGATTCCGAAACTCAGTCCCAGCGCCAGCGACCTGGCCGCGGTGGCTCGCCGGGTTGCGGAGGCAGGAGCCGATGCGGTGTCCCTCATCAACACCATCCCCGCGATGGCAGTGGATGTGGAGACGCGCCGGCCGCGGCTCGCCAACGTAGTGGGGGGGTTGTCGGGCCCTGCGATTCGTCCGATTGCAGTCCGCATGGTGTGGGAGGTGGCGCGGGGCAGCCGGCTGCCGGTGATCGGCATGGGCGGAATCGCGAACGCCGAGGACGCCCTTGAATTCCTGCTCGTCGGGGCCGCGGCGGTACAGATCGGCACCATGAACTTCGTGGACCCCGGGGTCTGGCGGCACACTCTCGACGGCCTTGCCGCGTACTGCCGGCGGCACGAGGTTCCGGCGGTGCGCACGCTGACCGGCGCGATGCTCCCGGCTGCGGGGTCTCGGGCGTGACGGTTTCTTCCGCCCCGGGCTCTGGCTCCGCCCCCCCCGCAATACCCGGATGGGTGGCTCCTCCCGGCGCCGGGGAGCTGGTGGTTGCCGTCGACACCGCGTCCCTCGACGAGGCGATGCGTCTTCGGGACACCCTGGCGGGCGCCGCCTCGTTCTACAAGGTGGGGAAGGAACTCTTCACCGCAGCCGGACCGCGCGCGGTCTCCGAGTTTGCCTCGGTAGGGCGCGTGTTTCTGGACCTCAAGTTCCACGACATTCCGGCAACGGTCGCCGGCGCGGTGCGGGCGTCGGCGGGGTTGGGAGCCAGCATCGTGGACGTCCATGCGTCCGGGGGAAGGCCGATGCTCGAGGCGGCTGTCCGAGCCGCCTGGTCCACCCCGGCGCCGCCCCTGCTGCTCGGAGTAACCGTGCTGACCCACTTCGACCGGGAGAGCGCCGCTGAGGTCTATCCCGGGATTTCCATTGCGGACCAGGTTCTGAATCTCGCCCGTCTCACCCGGGTGGCCGGGCTGGGTGGAGTGGTCGCATCCGCCTCGGAGGCGAAAAAACTTCGCAGCACTTTCGGCGACGATTTCGTGCTGCTGGTGCCGGGAGTCCGTCCCCGCTGGGCGGCCGAAGCGCATGACCAGCGCCGGGTCGCCACCCCGGGCGAGGCAGCGCGCCGAGGGGCGAACTACATCGTCGTCGGCCGGGCCATCACGAGGCACGCCGACCCCCGGACGGCGGCGCTTCGGATCGTCGAAGAAATCGGCGGCTGACAGGCATCTGGTGCGATCCGAAATAGCCAGCGGAGACCGAAAACCACAGGTCCAGCGTTGACTTAGCAGAGAGCGTTCCGATAGCCTCTCAAGTGGATGTTATTTTGCTGTCCCCGGAGGTTTTCCTTGTGAGAAAAGCCATTGCCACCCTGCTGTTGCTCTCTCTCGCGACGTTAGCTCTCGGGTTCGCGGTGTCCGCGTGCTCCAAGGCACCGCCACCGCCGCCTCCACCGCCTGAGGAGCCGCCACCACCGCCGCCTCCGCCACCGCCGCCGCCACCACCGCCACCGCCACCGCCGCCACCGCCGCCGACGGAGCGGGACATGTATCTGGACACCGACATGATGGAGCTCCAGAGGAACCTCTCGGACGTTCACTTCGCCTATGACGAGTCCGAGTTGACCGATGCCTCGCGAAGCGCGCTTCAGGCCAACTCGGCTTGGCTGCAGCGGCCCTATGTCTCGGCGCAGATCCAGATCGAGGGTCATTGCGACGAGCGCGGCACCGTGGAATACAACCAGGCGCTCGGTGAGCGGCGGGCGCGCGCAGCCTACGACTACCTCGTATCGCTGGGGGTGCCGGATAGCCGGATCGAGATGGTGAGCTACGGGAAGGAGCGCCCGCAGTGCACCGAGAGCGACGAAGACTGCTGGCAGCGGAACCGTCGCGCCCACTTCCAGATCACGGCCAGGTAGGGACTTCCGCCTTCTCGGAAAGCGCTCCGGTCGGAAGACCGGGGCGCTTTCTTTTTTGTGCCCGGATTTGTGCCCGGACGCGGTCCGAAGCCTCTTCTGGGTCCGCGCCCAATCACGACACGGCCCGCGGGAGCATCAGCTGGACATCAACCCGTTTGGGTTACGCGCTTCCGACCCGGCGTCGCGCGGTCTCGGGTAGTTCGGGATCTCTCATGGGCTTTTGCAAAATCCCGTGACGTTTCATTTTTTCGTGGAGCGTCGTGGGGTTCATCTGCAGTGCCTGAGCGGCGCGTTTCTGGTTACCTCGAGTCCGCCGGAGCGCCCGCTCGATGAGCGTCTTCTCGATTTCGGCGATCACTTCCTTGAGAGGGCGGGATCCGACGTTCTCGGCGCGCGGCGCTGGCCCCTCCGGCGGCGAGCAGAGCGCTTCGGGCAGGACGGTGCCGGAGAACCGGGACACCCGGGCGGTTGCCACCGCGCGCTCCACCCACATGCGGAGCTCCGCGGTGTTGCCGGGCCAGTGGTACCCGCCGTAAGCCTCCACCGTGGCTCCGGAGACCCCGAAAGGAGGCTCTCCGGAGGTCTTGCAAGCGTGCTTCAGGAAATGCAGGAGGAGGGCCGGGATGTCCTCCCGGCGCTGTCGTAGCGGGGGGATTCGGATGGTGGCCGTCTCCAGACGCTTGAACAGTGTTCGCGAGAACGCGCCGGACTGCACTCTGGCTCGGAGGTCGGGGGTAGCGGAAACGAGCAGCCGAAACGGGGGCGGCCGGCGAACGGCGTCGTCGAGAGTGGCCTGATCTCCAGCGTGGAGGTGTTCCACGCCACTCAGATAGAGACTCCCCGGCCGGGAAAGACTCTCCGGCCGGAGCTGGAGGCTCCTCGATCCGGATTCCCGGTCGTCTCGTCTCAGCCTCGCGAGGATCGTTCCCAGCCCTCCCGCCGGAAGGCTCGCCGCTTGAAGCGGGAGGAACGGCAGCGATGACTGGCGGCCGAGTCGATGAACGAGTTCAGCGGCCAGACGCCGACCACTACCCGGTTCGCCGACAACCAGCACGGGCCCGTCCGAGAAGGCGGTCGTGGTGACGGCGCTGCGGATCTCGGCGGCCTCGTCCGAGCAGCCGATCCAGTCTTCAAGCCGGGTCGCCGCGCGGAGCTCGTCCCGCAGAATCCGGTTCTCCCGCAGCAGGCTCCGATATCCGAGTTCGGCCTCCAGGGAGGTGAGCAACGCTTCCCGGCGGACGGGAGCGGGCACGAGCCGCGGGCGCCCGGGTCCGAGTCCGGCGAAATCCGGCCTGGCCGTCTCAGCGTCGGCGAGCACGATGGTCGCCGCTTCGGGGCAGATCCCGCGAAGGCGATCCAGCGTTGCCCGCACCGGCACCGGGCTCGCCGTCGCGTCCACGACCACTACCGAGGCTCGCTGGAGCCGCTCCTCCGCCGTTTCGTCCAGCACCGAAGGGAACCGTTCAACCTGCCACGACTCCTCGGTAAGGAACCGGACGGCGTCGCGCGCTGGCCGGCTGTCTCCGACTACGACGGCGATGCGGTCCGTGGCGGCGATTGGCGCCTGCGGGATGAGAGCGGCGCGGCGAGGGACATGGATAGGCGAGGAGATCCCGGGCCTCCTCCCTTCACGATTCCCTCGCCCGCTGGAATTCCGAAGCTCGGAGAGGTTCCGAACTAAGAGAACGATGTCAGCGGGGAATGGTTCCGCCTAAAAGCCGGTGGTGGAACCCGCGTGAGCGCCGAGGCTGGCCAGTTCTCCCGGTCGGGGCGAGGCGCCCGGCTGGCGAGGCGCGTGAGGGAGGAGCCCCCACCGGGAGAACTGGCCCGGGTGTATTTCGACCGAAACGCAACGATGAGCGGCGCGCCGCGACGCGGGCAACAGTCTGTGGGGGATCGCCGGCCGTTTCCGGAGCGGGGCGCAAGCACCGCGTAGACCCCGGAGCGGAAGGGACGGGGGGCGGGACCACCCGACCCCCATCCCTTCTGGCTCGGGAACGCCGCCCGGGTTTCCTTACAGGCTGTTCAGCCGGGATGGATCGCCGGCCGAGCCCCCACCGGGAGAACTGGGCCGTGTGGGTTCCACTACCGGCTGTTGAGCTCCCTGATCCGGGGATTACCGGGGATTACCGGGGGGATTACCGGATACAGGCCGCAACTTCCAGGAAATAGGCATGGATGCGCGTATCGGTCGTCAGTTCCGGATGAAAGGTTGTCGCCAGCACCCGCCCTTCGCGGACGAAAGCCGGCTGCCCGCGCCATTTCGCGAGCACGTGCACATCCGCACCGGTGGCGCTGATGATTGGGGCGCGGATCATGACCAGAGGCAGGTCCGGCTCACCCAGCTCGGGGCAGGGCGTCGCCCCGAGGTGGCTCTCCAACTGCCGGCCGTAACCGTTGCGCTGGATCTCGATGTCAAGCAGTGCAAGCGACTGCTGCGCCGGATTCTGGACGGCGCGGGCCAGGAGAATGGTTCCGGCGCAGGTCCCATAGAGTGCGCCTCCCCGCTGATGGAAGGTTCTGAGGGGTTCGAAGAGATCCTCCTCGAGGAGAAACTTCAGCATTGTCGAGCTTTCTCCGCCGGGGATGATGAGTCCATCGAGCCCGTCGAGGGCCGGAGTCCTGCGGACCTCTACCGCTTCGATGCCGAGTCGCTGTAGTACGGCCGTGTGCAGAGCGAAGCTTCCCTGAAGTGCGAGCACCCCGATGCGCGGCGAGGAAGGGGAACGGACAGGCTCGAACCGGGTCGGCTCCGTCATCGTTGGCGAATCTCTCCCATCTTCACCTGAGCACGGCGTTTCGAAGCTCACTCCTGCCGAACTGCGCCTCCGGCGGACGAACCTCCGGAAGCGGAACGCTGAGAAGCGTCACCACGGACCCGGGACCCCACCCCCCGGAAGCGTTTACGTTTAGTTGCCGCGCGTCTGCAGCAACTCCGCCTCCGGGATCGAGGCGATGTCCAGGCCTCGCATCGGTTCGCCGAGGCCCATGGAAACCTCGACCAGCATGGCCGGGTCGCGGTAGTGGGTCACCGCTTTCACGATGGCTTTGGCCCGCTGTGCCGGATCCGTCGACTTGAAGATCCCGGACCCGACGAAAACCGATTCCGCCCCGAGTTGCATGCACAGCGCCGCGTCGGCCGGGGTTGCTACCCCTCCCGCCGCGAAGTTGGGTACGGGCAAGCGCCCCTCGCGCGCCACGATCCGCACCAGTTCGTAGGGGGCGCGGAGTTCCTTGGCGGCGGACATCAGTTCGTCATCGGTAAGGATCGTGAGGCGGCGGAGCGCGTTTCCGATATGACGCAAGTGCCGGACGGCTTCCACGATGTTGCCGGAACCGGCTTCGCCCTTGGTACGAATGAGCGCCGCCCCTTCCCCAATCCGGCGGAGCGCCTCCCCGAGGTTGCGGCAGCCGCACACGAAAGGCACCTCGAAGGCGTGCTTGTCGATGTGGTTTTCTTCGTCGGCCGGTGTCAGCACTTCACTCTCGTCAACGAAGTCCACCCCCATCTCCTGAAGCATCTGGGCCTCGACGAAGTGGCCGATGCGCACCTTGGCCATCACTGGGATGCTTACTGTTTCAATGATTTCCCGGATCTTCTCCGGGGAGGACATCCGGGCCACCCCGCCGTCCCTGCGGATATCGGCCGGCACCCGCTCGAGAGCCATCACGCTCACCGCGCCCGCGTCTTCGGCAATGCGCGCCTGTTCGGCGTTGGTGACGTCCATGACCGCGCCGCCCTTCAGCATGTCGGCAAGACCTGTCTTCAGTCGGAATTCCGTGCTCATTGCATTCTCCTGAACGGACTTGCTGTCCGTCGTAACCGGCGTGGGCCGAACTCTTTGTTGACGACCTGCTCAGGCCGTCGCCCGACCCGGAACTCTACTCGCCCACGCCGGGTGTATGCGGGCGAAGGCTATCCCCGCGATGATCAGAATCGCCCCACCGATCTGGGCGGCCTCCAGAGCCTCTCCGAGCCACAGCCAGGAGATCAGTATTGACGGTATGGGAAGGACACTCGAATAGACGCCCGTGAGCGTGGGCCCCACTCGCGCGGTCGCGTACATCCACAGCATGTTCGCCAGACTGATCGCGGTAATCCCGAACAAGAGTGCGGCAGCCCACCACTCCGCGGGGGCGCGCCCGAAGTCGGAGAGCGTGAGGAGGAGGGGGCTGGGCAACAGCAGCAGGACCGATGCGACCGCCGCACTCCACGCCGTTACCCGCAGGGCGCCGTACTTGTGGACGAGGGACTTTCCCCGGACGGTGTACACGGCCCACCCGATCATCGCGGCGAAGAGCGCGAGATTGCCGAGGTGCGCGGTCAGGCTGGATTCCGCCCCGGAGATGAAGACGATCCCGACCATCGCGAGAATGAGCCCGATAGCGGCGGGTTGGCAGAAGCGCTCGACCCGGGTCACCCAGGACAGGACCGCGATGGCCACCGGGGTTAACAGCCTGTGGTGAAACCCAGGCGGCGTTCGCCCGGCGATGCATCCCGGCTGAACCACTCCGCTTCGCTCCGTTCTGCGTTGCGTTTCGGTCGAAATACACTCGGTATTCCTCCCTCACGCGCCTTGTCAGCCGGGCGCCTCACCGCTCTCGGCGCTCACCCGGGTTCCACCACAGGCTGTTAGAGCCAGGATGAGGGCCGAACTGGTCGCCGACGACGCATGGGTTCCGTGAATGAATCCGACCTCGAGGACGACAGGCCCGGCGACGCCCAACACGAAAACAGACCAGGCGTCGCGCCACTCGAACTTCCTGAGAGCCGGGGTCCTCGCCACGGCGAAGAGGAGGATCAGGGACGCCGGGACGAGGCGCGCGAGGTTGAAGGCGTAGGGATTTCCCATGTCCACCCCATACTTGACCATGCTCGGGCCCGCCGCCCAGACGAGAACGACGATCGCGAGCGCCGCCTCCGCCCGTCGCGCGGTCCGGGCGCGGGGGGATGCCGCCGGAACGGTCCGGACTACGGCGGGTAAGGTCTTGGGTTGCGGCATCGGGTCGGTGGGTGCGGCGCGACGGCCCCGCACGCCGCGCCTAGCAGCTGGTGGTGAAACCCGCGTGAGCGCCGAGGCCGGTGAGGCGCCCGGCTGACAAGGCGCGTGAGGGAGGAATTCCGCGTGTATTCCGACCGAAACGCAACGATGAGCGGCGCGGTTCAGCCGGGATGGATCGCCGGCCGAACGCCGCGTGGGTTTCACTACCGGCTGTTTGGCCGGGGCCCCCACCGGGAGAACTGGCCCGCGTGGGTTTTGCCACCGGCTGCTACATCATCCGCTGGATGATGCGGGCCCGCTGCTCTTGGGTGATGGCTTCCGGAACGTGGGAAACCGGCAACGCCCCGCCGTCCAGAATCGGCTCGAGCGCGTGCAGCGGCTGGACCGCCTGATCCTGATAGAAGAGCCCGGTGTAGATCTTCTCGTCCCACTCCATTGCCCGTTCGCAGGCGGTTTTCCAATCCGAGGGATCGTGGTTCTCATCCTCGAGCGGTGAGATCCGCTGGCGGAAGAAGTCGTAGGTGTTGTCGCGGTTGAAGGTGACACACGGACTGAAGACATCGATCACCGCGAATCCCCGATGCTCGATGGCGCCCTTGATCAGCCGGACCAGCTGCTTCATGTTGCCGGAGAACCCGCGCGCCACATAGGTGGCTCCGTTCATGATGGCCGAGGTGATCGGATTCACCGGTCGCTCGATGTTCCCGAACGGCGTGCTCTTGGTCTTCATTCCCAGGCTGCTGCTCGGGGAGACCTGTCCGGTGGTGAGCCCGTAGATCTGATTGTTCATCACCAGGTACGTGAGATCCACGTTGCGGCGGGCCGTGTGGGTGAAGTGGTTGCCGCCGATGCCATAGCCGTCTCCATCGCCGCCGGTGACCAGGACGGTGAGCGTCTGGTTGGCCATCTTCACCCCGGTGGCTACCGCGAGCGACCGCCCGTGGAGGGTGTGCATACCGTAGGAGTTGAAGTAACCGGGGAAGTTCGAGGAACAACCGATCCCGCTCACGCACACGATCTGGTGCGGGGAAAGGCCCAGATCGGCCACGGACACCTGGGTGGCCCGCAACAGAGCGAAGTCGCCGCAGCCTGGGCACCAGTCCGGGTCGACCTTTCCCTTGAAGTCTTTGGCGGTCAGCGGCTTTTCCCTGAGCTCGATAGTCATTGGGTCTCCTGTTGGTGTCTCCGGCGGGGTGGGGGTGCTAGACGATCATTTCCTAGACAACTATTTCCTAGACGATTATTTCCTGGTCCGGTACGAACACGCCGCCGGGGACGGCGCCTTCGAGATGCGCCCGGACACCGTCGGCGATGTGATGCGGCATGAACGGCTCGCCATCGTACTTGCGGATGTGTCCGTCGACGGTAATACCCGTCTCACTCCGCAGGAACCGGTGGAACTGTCCCGAGTAGTTGTTTTCGATGATGAGCGTCTTCCGGGCGCCGGCGAGCGCCTCGCTCACGACATCCGCGTGGAAAGGCAGGATCCACTTCACGGCGATCCGGTCTACCTTCACTCCGTCCGCCTGGAGCTGTTCCATCGCTTCGCTGATGACTCCGGCCGTGGAACCCCAGCCCACCAGAGTGACCTCCGCTTCCTCGTCCCCTTCGAGTTCGGGGGCGGGCACGCGTGAGAGGTAGTCGTCCAGCTTCCGAGCCCGCTTCTCCACCATCTGGCGGCGCTTGATCGGGTTCGTGAACTCGTCCGAGATGAGGATGCCTTCCTCGTCGTGTTCGTCGGTGGCGACCACATGGACATGGCCCGGAACCCCGGGTACGGCCCGCGGGGAAATACCGTCTTTGGTATCCAGGTAGCGGTAGTAGGTTCCCTCAGCGCCATTGGCCTCGCGGATCAGCTCACCGCGCTCGATGGGCGGGAACATGTCGATGTCTTTCGGCGGAACGCTGAAGGTTCCTTCGGAAATGAGCAGATCGGAGAGGACGATGGCCGGACACTGGTAGCGATCGATCAGGTTGTACACCTCACCGATCGTGGTGAAAGCATCGTGAGCACTCTGGGGCGCCACCACGATCCGTTCGAAGTCGCCCTGGCTGGCTCCCAGCGCCTGCCAGAGATCTCCCTGCTCGGTCTTCGTGGGAACCCCGGTCGAAGGCCCGGCGCGCATTACGTTGATGAAGACCACCGGGATCTCCATCATGGACGCCGATCCGATGGCTTCGGTCATGAGCGCGAAACCGCCGCCCGAGGTGGCGCACATCGTGCGGGCGCCGGTATGGGCGGCCCCTACCGCCATGTTGGCGACTCCGATCTCGTCCTCGACCTGGCGCACCATGATCCCGAGTTCGCGGGCGTTGTTGGCCATCCAGTGGAGCACTCCGGTCGAGGGGCTCATGGGATAGGCGCAATAGAACTTGACCCCCGCGGCCGCCCCTCCCATCGCGAGGGCATCGTTCCCGGTCCACACCGCGAGCGGCTCCGGGTTCTGGGGCAGGGGGTTCGCCAGCGGCGCGAAGTGGGCGCTCGCGTGCTCGTAACCGGCGCGGGCTACGGCGACGTTCGAAGAAACCACCGCGTCGCCCTTTCTCGCGAACTGCAGCGCGAGTGCGGACTCCAGAACCTCGAAGTCGAGTCCCAGCACATGGGCGATCACGCCCAGCGCGGCGGTGTTCTGCGCCAGCTTGTTCTTGCCGTCCCCGGTGAACTCGCTCACCGGCATGCCACACAGATGAACGCCGTCCTGGTGCTCTCCGGGGTGATGGTGTCGGCGTTGTACACCGCGTAGCCGCCGGGAGCCCAGATGGCGCAGATGGCGCGTCATGGTGTCCTGGTTCAGGCAGAGGAGCAGGTCGATCCGATCACCGTGCGAGAGCGCCTCCTGTTCCCGAACCCGCATGGTCAGGAGAATGTGTCCACCCCGGATGATGGACTGATACGCGTTGTACGCGTTCAGGTGGAGCCCCCGGCGAACGAACATCCGGGCAAGGATGTTGCCGGGCGTGGCAATTCCCTGCCCGGCAGCACCTCCAATGGCGATGGCGAAATCGAAACCTTGTGACATGTGCGAGTGGGTGACCTTCTTTGAACGGATGAGCCCTGACTGAGTTTCTTACCGGACGCGCCCGGTCCTGCGGAGTCCGCTCTTTCCCAAAAGCGAGCGGGCGACGCGAAGTAAGCCGGAAAATTCTATCACCTGGGGAGAGTCGGCCTCCGAACGGGAAACCGGAGGCGGAGTGCCGGGCGCCCCGCCTCGCCCTGCTCCGTTGACAATCGGTCGTGCGCGCGCCTACTATGGGCGACTCCCCGCGTCACTACGGCGTTCGCCGCCGGGCCTGAGGGTTCATGGAGAGTGTCGAGCGGGGTAAGAGGGGTCTTCGGCGCGGATGGGTTCCCCCCTACGCCCGAACTCCCCCGCTTAACCAAGAGGTTTTTTCTGTTCAATGAGAGAGGGTATGCCCGAAACGGATGAGGGAGCGGCCGCCGTGGCGGTCGGTAGTGAGTTGGCAGGGGAGCAGAATCCCGCGGTGATCGCCGGGGACGCGACGCAATCCCCGGTTGAAGACGCGGTTGCGGGCCCCGACGCGGTAGCCGAGGTCGCGGAATCCGCGAACTCGACGGGAAACGGCGCCCCTGCCCAGGATGGCGCCCCATCGGCGGTGTCGGCGGAGGAGGCTGCCGAATTCGAGGCCTTCCTGGACCAGTACCAAACCAACATGGTGGAAGGAGACATCGTCACTGGCACGGTCCTTCACATGACGGAGTCGGACGTGATCGTGGATGTCGGCTACAAGTCGGAGGGCATCATCGCGCTTGACGAATTCCGGGATGTCGATGGAAATGTCCGGGTTCGCGAAGGGGACGAGATCGATGTCCTCGTCCAGCGGGCCGACAACCGTCGCGGCCACCTCGTGCTTTCCCATCGGAAAGCCGAGAAGATGAAAGTCTGGAACCAGATCGAGGACGCCTTCGAGAAGCAGACGCCGGTGCGCGGGCGGGTCGTTGACCGGATCCGGGGCGGACTGGAGGTCGATATTGGGGAAATCGGGGTGCGCGGCTTTCTCCCCGGCTCGCAGGTGGATCTGCGTCCCGTACGGAACCTCGGCAGCTACAAGGGTCGCGAACTCGAACTGCGCGTCATCAAGCTGAACAAACGTCGCGGCAACATCGTGCTCTCGCGCCGGGTGGTTCTCGAAGAGGAAAAGACGAAGACCCTCGCCGCGCTCGAAGTCGGGCGGGTGTTCCGGGGTGAAGTGCGCGATCTCACCGAGTACGGAGCGTTTGTGGACATCGGTGGCATTTGCGGCCTTCTCCACATTCGGGAGATGTCCTTCCGCCGGCTTGAGCATCCTTCGGAACTCATGAAGGTGGGTGACCAGATCGAGGTGGTCATCCTCCGGTTCGATGCGGAGGCGGAGCGGGTCTCCCTCGGCTACAAGCAGCTCAACGTCGATCCCTGGACGACTGCCCACGACCGCTACGCGGTGGGAACCCGGGTCCGTGGGAAGGTGGTCAGCATCACCGACTACGGCGCCTTCATCGAGATGGAGCCCGGAGTTGAGGGACTCATCCACGTGAGCGAGATGAGCTGGAGCAGCCGGACCAAACATCCGTCCAAGCTGCTTGGCAAGGGCGACTTCGTCGAAGCCATGGTGCTCCGGGTCGACTTCAAGGCCCGGCGGATCAGCCTCGGTCTCAAGCAGGTGGAACCGAACCCGTGGCCACGGCTTGCCGAGCAGTACCCCATCGGTTCGCGGCTCACCGGGACGGTACGAAAGTTCACTGACTTCGGCGCCTTCATCGAAGTGGACAGCTCAATTGATGGCCTGATCCACATTTCCGACCTCAGTTGGAACAAGCGGGTGAACCATCCTTCCGAAGTCCTCAACGTGGGCGACGACGTGGAGACCGTGGTCCTGAGCATCGATCCCGAGAACCGCCGCCTGTCGCTCGGACTCAAACAGCTTTCGGATGATGCCTGGGAGGGCTTCTTCACCCGGCATCAGGAAGGCGATCTGGTGGACGGGACCGTGATCCGTTTCGCGGATTTCGGAGCCTTCGTCCAGATCGAGGAAGGGATCGAAGGCCTGTTGCGCCTGAACGACATTGACGAGCCACCGCCATCCAAGGCGGAGGACCGGCTGCACCTGGGGCAGCCGCTCAAGTTGCGGATCGTGCGGCTCAGCCGTGATGATCGAAAAGTGGGACTCTCGCTCCGGGCTGCCGAGGAGGGCTATTCCGGACACGGCGAATCGAGTGAGGTGTCCTCCGTCAAGATCGGAGACGTTTGGAAGAGGTGAACGACACAGCGATCACCCGCGCCCGCCTAGCTGCGGAGGTGTCGGAGGCCACGGGGATTACGCGTCGCGAAGCTGACCTCATCGTGGAGGCGGTTTTCGGCGCGATCGCCGGGGCTCTTCGTTCCGGAGACGAGGTGGAGATTCGCGGATTCGGCAGTTTCCGTTTGCGGAGCCGAAAGGCGCGCCTCACGCGCAATCCGCGAACGGGTGAACAGATCATGGTGCCTCCGAAACGGGTGCCGTTCTTTCGAGCCGGAAAGGCTCTCCGTGACCGCCTCAATCAGGAGCCGAGCGAAGAGCCGTTGGCGGCGACCTAGCAGCCTGTGGCAAAACCCACGCGGCCCAGTTCTCCCGGTGGGGGCTCGGCCGGCGATCCATCCCGCCCGAACCACTCCGCTTCGCCCCCCCACCGGGAGAACTGGCGTTCTTCGTTGCGTTTCGGTCGAAATACACTTGGGCCAGTTCTCCCGGTGGGGGCTCCTCCCTCACGCGCCTTGTCGGCCGGGCGCCTCGCCCCCACCGGGAGACTGGCCGACCTCGGCGCTCACGTGGGTTTCACCACAGGCTGCTAGCCCGCCGCGGTTCGTGGCCTCCGGGCCGGTGGGAGAAGGCCGCGGCCGCGGCTGGAGTGCTACGGTCCGGTAAGCGCCGTTTCCAGCCGTCATCGCGGCGCGGCAGTGCTATAGGAACTGAACAGCCCGTGAAGGAAGTCAAGTGGGCCAGTTCTCCCGGTGGGGGCTCCTCCCTCGCGCGCCTTGTCAGCCGGGCTCCCACCGGCAGGACTGGCCCCACCGGGAGAACTGGCCCTCCCCGGCCTCGGCCCTCACCTCACTCCATCCACGGCGGTTGAATTGAGCACGCCCGTCACCCTGTCCCCGGCCGCATCTCCGGCCTCCCGGGCTCCTTTCGATCCGCTCGCCGAGCTTCCGCTCCGCTTCATCACGGGGACCGCGCTGTTTGACGGTCACGATGCCTCGATCCACGTATTCCGACGGTTGTTGCAGCGGGGTGGCGCCGAAGTAGTTCACCTTGGGCACAACCGAGCCGCCGGGGAAATAGCCGCCGCGGCGCTCGAGGAGGATGCGGACGCCATCGCCGTGTCCTCCTACCAGGGGGGGCACAACGAGTTCTTCCGCTATCTGGTTGATCTGTTGCGGGAGGCGGGACGAGGCGACATCCGGGTCTTCGGTGGCGGTGGGGGAGTGATCCGGCCCGAAGAAGGGGCTGCCCTCGAGGCGTACGGGGTGGCGCGGATCTACTCCCCTGGGGACGATCGGGTGGACGGCATCGAAGGCATCGTGGCCGACATGTTGGCAGACGCCGGCGAGGCCCGTGCCGCCCGTGCCGCCCGTCCGCGGGCCTCCTTCGATTCGCTCAGCGAGGATCTCGCGGGTGAGGATCCGCTTCGCCGGAACGGCGCCGCTGCCCGGCTGATCAGTTTGGCGGAGAGTGAGGGGCTTGACGCCGCCGACCGAGCCGCGCTCTCGGAGCACATTCGGTCGTCCGCTCCCGTACTGGGGATCACCGGGACGGGAGGAGCGGGAAAGAGTTCGGTCCTCGACGAATTACTCGTCAGATTCCGGACTGAACGACCGGATCTGGGCTCGGGGTCGGTGAGCCGGATCGGCGTGCTCGCGGTGGACCCTTCGAAGCGGCGAACCGGCGGTGCATTACTGGGAGACCGCATTCGGCTCAACGCGATCGGGGGTACGGAGGTGTTCGTCCGGAGTCTGGCTACCCGCCACTCGGGGACGGAACTCGCCAACGTCGTGGACGATGCGCTGCTGATTCTGCGGGCGGCGGGCTGCGGTCTGCTGGTCGTCGAAACCGGGGGAATCGGGCAGGGCGATTCGCGAATCGTGGATATCAGCGATTTCTCCCTCTACGTGATGACCTCCGACTACGGCGCCGAGAGTCAGCTCGAAAAGATCGACATGCTGGACCTGGCGGACGCGGTGGCGCTGAACAAGGCCGATCATCCGGGCGCCGAGGATGCGCTTTTCGCGGTGCGGCGCGCCTTCCAGCGGGCTCGCTCACTTCCACGCCACGCCCCGGCGCCCGTTCTGCCGACGGTGGCGAGCCGGTTTGCGGACCCCGGTCTCGACCGGCTCTACGCCGTCGTCCGCGACGGACTGGCCGGAAGAGAGACGGCGCTGCCGTCTCCGGTCAGTGATCGCCCCGACGACCTGCTCGCCGACGTACGCCTCATCCCGCCGGCGCGGGCCGGCTACCTGGCCGAGATTGCCGATACGCTTCGAGGCGAGAGGAACCGGGTTGCCGCCGAGGCGGATCGGGCTGCGAGAATCGAGCATCTCGAGGCGGCACTCGATGAACTGCGCGCCGGCGGTGGCGCCGAGGAGGCCGCGCGGGCCTTGGAGGCACGCCTTCGGGACGTCCGCGCCGAACTCGACGCCGGGAGCCGGGAGCTGCTGGCAGGGTGGTCCGATCTGGTGGCTCGCTATCGGGCGCCGCGGTACCGAACTCAGGTTCGGGATCGGGTGCGCGAGTTCAGTACCCACCGGGAAACGCTCTCCGGAACCTGGCTTCCGCGGGTAGCTCTTCCGGGCTTTACGGGCAATCGGGACAGGTTGCGCTTCCTTCTCGAAGAGAACCTGCCGGGCCACTACCCGTTCACCGCCGAGTTCTTCCCGTTCCGAAGAGAGGAAGAGAGTCCGCGGCGTCAATTCGCCGGGGAAGGCGGCCCGGCGCGCACCAACCGGAGGTTCCACCTGCTCGCCGATTCCGAAGCGGCCACGCGGCTCTCGGTCGCCTTCGACAGCGTGACCCTCTACGGAGACGATCCGGCCCGGCGGCCGGACATCTTCGGGAAAATCGGCGAAGGGGGCGTGTCCATCGCCACCCTCGACGACATGTGCGAACTGTTCCGGGGGTTCCGCCTCACCGATCCGGCGACCAGCGTTTCCATGACCATCAACGGTCCGGCGCCGCTGATCCTCGCAATGTTCCTGAACGCCGCCGTCCGGCAGGAGGTTCAGGCCTTCGAGGACGAGCACGAACGCCCGCCTTCCGCGGACGAGTACCGAGAACTGAAAACCGCGACCCTGCAGACGGTGCGCGGGACGGTGCAGGCCGACATCCTCAAGGAGGACCAGGCTCAAAACACCTGCATCTTTTCCACCGCCTTCGCGCTTCGGCTGATGGGCGACGTCCAGGAGTTCTTCATCCGGAACGAGGTCCGCAACTTCTATTCGGTTTCCATTTCGGGGTACCACATCGCCGAGGCGGGGGCGAACCCGATCACGCAGCTCGCCTTCACCCTGGCCAACGGCTTCACCTACGTCGAGTACTACCTCGCCCGGGGTCTGCCGGTCGACGCCTTCGCGCCGAACCTTTCCTTCTTCTTCAGCAACGGTCTCGATCCCGAGTACGCCGTCATGGCCCGCGTGGCCCGGCGGATCTGGGCGCGCGCCATGAAGCTCCGCTACGGCGCCGGAGAGCGGAGCCAGAAATTCAAGGTCCACATCCAGACTTCGGGCCGTTCGCTCCATGCCCAGGAGGTGCAGTTCAACGACATCCGGACGACGCTGCAGGCGCTCGTCGCGACGAACGACAACTGCAACTCGCTGCATACCAACGCCTACGACGAGGCCATCACTACTCCTACTCCGGAATCGGTGCGACGGGCGGTGGCCATCCAGAAAATCATCCGCAACGAGTTCGGCATGGCCTGGAACGAGAATCCCTTGTCGGGTTCGTTCGTCGTCGCTCAGCTCACGGATCTCGTGGAGGAAGCGGTACTCGCCGAATTCGATCGTCTCAATGCTCGTGGCGGCGTGTTGGCGGCGATGGAGCGCCAGTACCAGCGAAACCGGATCCAGGAAGAGTCGCTCTTGTATGAGACCCGGAAAGACTCCGGCGAGATTCCGATCATCGGAGTGAACACCTTCCTGGCGGCGCCGGATTCCGGGTCTCCCGAATCGGTTCCGCTCGCGCGCTCCACCCCGGAGGCAAAAGAGGACCAGGTGGCGCGGGTGGAGGCGTTTCGGCGACGCCACCGGGCGGCGGCGCCGGAAGCGCTCCGGAGGCTCCAGGAAGTGGCGCGTGCCGGCGGCAATGTCTTCGCTGAACTGATGGAGACCGTACAGGTCGCGAGCCTCGGGCAGATCACACAAGCGCTCTACGAGGTCGGCGGTCGCTACCGCCGGGCGATGTGAACGGAGTCTCGGGGCGTTCCGCCGGTGGTACGGCGGCCAATCCGCCGTACCGGATTCTGGTGGCGAAACCGGGCCTCGACGGGCACGACCGCGGTGCGCTGGTGGTCGCGAGGGCGCTCCGCGACGCGGGCTTTGAAGTCATCTACACCGGGCTGCGGAGAACACCCGAAGAAATTGTCGAAGCCGCGCTTCAGGAAGACGTGGAGGCGGTTGGTGTCTCCATTCTCTCGGGTGCTCATCGCCCGCTGGTTCGTCGGATCCTCGAGGGACTCGCGCAGCACGGACTCGCAGACGTACCGGTCTTCGTCGGCGGCCTCATTCCGGATCGCGACGTGGCGTATCTCCGCGAGATCGGAGTCGCGGAGGTGTTCGGACCCGACACCCCGACTTCCGAGGCGGCCCGGGCCCTCGGTTCGCGGCTCGCCGAGCTTCGCCTCCGTCGGGCCGTGCCGGGCTCCGACTCCTGACGGCCACTTGCCGATCGGAGTGACGGTGTTCGCTTCCGCAGTGTCGAAACCGACCGCCGCGTCCTTTCCTTCACAAGTCACACCCAGACGGTGGCGGGAAGCCATCCTTGACGCCACGGGAAAACGGCCGGCGCCGCTCCTCGGCATCTGGCGGCGCGCTTCGTCCACGAACGAGCTCGCAAAGGTGGTGGCCCTCGACGCCGGAGCGGTGGGCTGCGCCGGGAGCGTGCTGATCGCCGAATCGCAGACACACGGGAAGGGACGTTTTGGCCGAACCTGGGTGTCGCCACCCGGCGGGCTCTACCTGAGCGTGCTCGTCGAGCCCCCCGTTCTGGCGGGCGGGGATCCGGCGTACCCGCTGACCTTGCTGCCGCTCGCGGCCGGGGTCGCGGTGGCGCAGGCGGTGCGGCGGGTTGCGGGGGTCCCCGCGGCACTTCGGTGGCCGAATGATCTTGATTGGGAGGACAGGAAGGTCGCGGGGATCCTCGCCGAGGTCGGCTTCCGGCGGGACTGCCCGTACCTTGCGGTCGTCGGTTTCGGGGTCAATCTGACTCCGGTCTCGCTCTCGGGGACCGGAGACCGGAAAGTCTCGCGCCCACCCCCCCCGTCCGCGGCCCGCCCTCCGGGTTGGCTTCCCGATGTGGATCGGGTGGAGTTGGCCCACGCTCTGGTGACCTCATGGCAACACAGCATCAACGCGCTCGAGGAGGATCCGGGGTCGCTCCGGGCGGCCTGGGAGTCGCTCAGCCCGACCGCGAGGGGGTGTCGCTGCGAGGTTCGGCTCGGTGGTCCCCGAGGCGTGCTGGGGAAGACGGACGGGCTGGCCCCGGAAGGAGGTCTGCGGGTCAGGACCGACGGCGGGACTGTCCGGGTGGTAACCGCGAGCGAAGCGCTCCGGATCCTCCATGGCCCCTCGGGCGGTTCGTGCCGCGACTCCCAACTTCCCTCGTCCGGCTGCTGAAGTGACCCGGCGGGCCTCTCCCGACTACTTTCGGGCCGTCGAACGGACTTTCCTCGACCTCAAAGGGGGCGGGATGTTTCTCTCCCCGGCCGATTGGGACGCTGTGCGCGGCTGGGAAGAGCGGGGGATTCCCCTGGATGTCGCGCTCTCCGGGATCCGCACCGCGTTTTCGGGGCGGACGCGCGCGCCTTCCCGGATGTCCCTCGGGGTGTGCTCCGCGGCCGTAGAGGCCGCGTTCGACGCGCTGCGCATGCAGCGCTCAGGCGCGGGCAGCCGCTCCCGGGAGGGCGACACCGAAGTCCGGAACCGCCTCGCGCAACTCGCGGATCAGCTTCGGAAATGGTCTCCCGCGCCGGGATCCCTCCTGGATGAGCAGACCGCCGCCGAACTGGTCGCCGCGGCTTCCGAAGCCGCGGCGGAACTCGATCGTCTCGGGAGGGGCGAGGGCGCTTCTGCCGGAGCCGGGCGAGCGCTGGACGGGATTCAGGACGCTCTTCTGATCCGGCTGCAGGCGGCGCTTCCGGACGCCACCCTGGGGGAGATCGAGCGCGCGGTGCGCAACAAACTCGAGCCGTATCGGAGACGCATGCCGGAATCCACCTGGCGGGAGACTTACGAGCAGGCGGTCCGTCGACGGGTGGGACAGGTCTTGGGCTTCGGACCGCTGGCTCTGTTCGAATAGGGGACGGACGTCCGGTGGAGATCAGCAATCCCCACCTTCCCGAAACCTGGACCGAACGGCCGGCCGGCCCTTCCGAGGGAGCGCCCACCGCCCGAACCGCGCCCGCCCCGCTGCTCCTGCTGGCCGCCTCTTTCTGGGGAGGGGTCGCTGCTTTTGCGGTGATGCCCGGACCGCCGGGGTGGCCGCCATTCCTGCTGGGCGCACTGTTTGTGCTCGGGGCCGGTCTGCTCGCCCCGAGTCTGCTGGTCGAGAACCCGGTTCGGCGGCGCCGGAGCGGCCGACTCTCCCGGGTTCCCACCGGCATCAGGACGGGGCTCCTGTTGGTAGCGGCATTTGTGGCTGGCGCCCTCAATCGTCCCGCTCCCGCAGCGGTGTCGCCCCTTGCCGAGACCGTTCGCGCTCTGGGCGCCGAACGCCTCGCTCGCCCCGTCCGGCTTGAGGGAGTCCTACTGCGCGACGCGGAAGATTCCGGTCGCGCACCTCGATCGCTCTGAAAGTGGATCGGGTGGCCGCCAACCGCCAGGAATGGCCGGTGCGCGGGGAGGCGCGGATCACCGTGGACGGCGATCACCGGGAGCACCTCCGAAGGTTGTCCCGAGGCACGCGAATCTCCATCTGGTCGCGGGTTTCCGAACCGCGCCCGCCGGGAAACCCGGGGGGGCGCGAGAGTCGGGGGCCGGTCGCCCTCTTCGGCTCCACGAAGAGCGGACTGCTGGTCCGCGAAGTCGCGCCCGGGCCGGCGCCCTGGCGAGCATTGCAGGTTCTCAGAGCCCGGATCCGGGAGCGCCTCCGGAGTGGAGGCTTCCCCGACGACGTGCTGGCGGTCGTGGCAGCGATGCTCATCGGAGATCGCACCCTGGCTCCGCCGGAGACGGAGCGGGCCTTCCGGGACGCGGGAACGCTTCACCTGATGGCGGTCAGCGGGCTCCACGTGGGACTGCTCAGCCTGCTGATCTATGGAATGGCGGTACTGGTCGGCGTACCGCGCCGGAAGGCGCTCGCGACCGTGTTGTTCGTGCTTCCGCTCTACGCCGCGGTCTGCGGAGCGCGCCCTTCGGTGGTGCGCGCCGTCCTGATGGCGACGGTCGTGATCCTGGGGTTGCGCCGCGGACTCTTTGGAGAGGCCATGAACGGGCTGGGGCTGGCCGCCTTGGTTTTGCTCGCCTGGTCGCCGTGGAACGCACTCGACGTGGGGTTCCAGCTCAGCTTCGCCGCCACCCTGGGGATCATCGCCGCCTTCCGTCCGGAGGACCCCGCCGAAGTCTCGTGGGAACGCCCGGGCCGCTGGCGCGCCTGGATCCTGGTTCCGCTCGGTGTCACGCTCGCGGCGCAGCTCGCCACGTTCCCCATCCTTGCCTGGCATTTCGGCCGGGTGGTGTTCGGTGGGCTGCTGATCGCCGTTCCGGCCGGTCTGTTGGCGGGACCGGTTCTAGGTCTCGGGTTCGCCTGGCTGGCGCTTGCCGGGACCGGACTTCCGGCGCACGCGGTGGGTGCGCTTCTCACGATTGCCACCGAGGCTCTGATCGGGCTGAGCGAATGGGGCGCCGGGCTTTCGTTCGGCGCCTTTCACGTGGCCCGCCCGCCACTCGCCTGGCTTCTGGGCTGGCTGGGACTGGCGATTGTCGTCCTGGCGCTCCGCGGTAGGCGAAGGATCCTGCCGGCCGCGGTCATCGTTCTCCTTGGTCTGGCCACGCTGCCGCTCTCGGAGCCCGCAGACGGGACGCTTCGGCTCACCTCGCTGGACGTGGGGATGGGTGACGCGCTGGTTCTTGGCCTCCCCGCCGGCGGTGCGGTACTCCTCGACGCGGGTACTGCATTCGATGGATGGAGCGCCGGCGAGGCGATCGTTACTCCGTTCCTGGCCGAAATGGGCTTCCGGCGTCTCCGGGCTGCCGTTCCCACCCACGGGGATCTGGATCACGTTGGTGGTTTCCCGGCAGTGTTCCGCAACTTCGGGGTGGACGAACTCTGGGAAGGTGGAGGGACCGCGGAGGATCGTCGCACTGCGGTCGAGCAGGTACACCGCGAGCGGGTGCGGCGGGGGATTCCGCTGCGGCGGCTTCGAGCCGGGGAGCGTTTCGAGTTGGGCGGCGCCCGGTTCTCGGTGCTTGCTTCCGGCGACCATCGGTCCGGGCCGCGAGAGCGATCCAACGAGCGCTCGGTCGTGCTGGCCGTGGACTACGCCGGAAAGCGGCTTCTTCTCACCGGCGACGCCGGGGAGGCAACCGAGCGGGTTCTGTTGGACCGCTATGGCGCGGCCCTGCGTTCGGATGTGCTCAAGGTCGGTCATCACGGTAGCCGCTCTTCCACGACGCCGGAGTTCCTCGCCGCGGTAGCCCCCCAGGTGGCGCTCGTTTCGGTCCGCGCCGATCCCAGACGGCGTCTTCCGGATGACGGCGTGCTGGAGCGCCTCAGCAGCAGCGGCGCTCAGATCTACCGGACCGATCAATCCGGGGCGGTGACCGTCGCCATCGGCGCGGACGGCCGCGTTTCGGTGAGCACGTTCCGTCCCGAAGGAGCGCCAAGAGCGCAAGGATCGCAAGGAGCGCCGGTCTCCAGACCGGCATCGCGGCCATAGGCCGCGAAACTCCCACCAGCACACTCGCCCATTGTCCGGATCCGTCCGGGGACGCCGAAGCGCCCCCCGTGTTTCCTCCCGGTGGGGGCTCCTCCCTCGCCGTTGTCAGCGGGACGCCTCGCCCCCACCGGGAGAACTGGCCGCTCATGTCACATTGTCCACCCTCAGGGCATGCGGCGAACCGCGTTCCGGAGGGCCGATTCGGGATCCAATCCATCCTGCCGGGCTCCCCGCGCGACCGCGAGCAGGAGGTCGCCGAGTGCGGTTTCGGCTGCGTCTCGATCTTCGGCCCGCCGCGCGGCCTTCATCTTCGTGAGTGCGGCGAGAATGGAGTTCTGGTCCGGCCCGGCCCCCTGGCTGGAGGCCGCGGTGCGTTCGATGGCCTTCATCGCGAGCAACAGTGCCGGAAGACCCCGGGGCAGGGGATCCCGGGGCAGGGGATCCCGGGGCAGGGGATCGGGTTCCGCGGGGCGTCTGGACTTTTCAGAGGCCTTGATCGCTTCCCAGCTCGCGAGTGCTTCGTCCGCATTCGAGGCGCGCTCCTGCCCTCCGAAGACGTGGGGGTGGCGGCGGATCAACTTGCGCGTGATCCCGCGGGCCACCTCCGCCATCCCGAAACGGCCCTCCTCATGGGCGATCTGAGCCATGAAGACCACCTCGAGCAGCAGGTCGCCACACTCCTCGAGGACGGCAGACGGATCCTCGCGATCCACGGCGTCCACCAATTCGTGTGCTTCCTCAAGCACATAGCGGCGGAGGGATTGCCAGGTTTGCTCCCGGTCCCAGGGGCAGCCCTCCTTGGCCCGCAGCTTCGCCATCAATTCGATCAGGCCGGCAACCTCGGCGCCGCCGGCGGCTGCGGGTTCAGGGACTCGGGAGATGTCGCTTGGATTCTTCATGCGGGGGCCCGAGTGTATTGCGAGCGAAGCGCAACGATGGGCCACGCGAAACCGGTCGGTTCAGCCGGGATGCCGGAGCGAGAGGGATGGGGGAGGGGCTACCCGACTCGATCCCTGGTGGCTCGGGTTTCCGGAGCGGGGCGTTAGCAGCCTGTGGTGAAACCCAGGCGGCCCAGTTCTCCCGGTGGGGGCTCGCCCGGCGATCCATCCCGGCCAAACAGCCTGTGATGAAACCCGCGCGGCCCAGTTCCCGGGGGGGTCGGCCGGGTCATCCCGGCTGACCGCGTCGGCGCGCCGTCTCGTGCGTTTCGGTCGATACACCAGGTTTCCTCCCTACGCGCCTTGTAGCCAAGCGCTCACGGCTCGCGCTCACGCGGGTCCACACAGGCTGTTCACCACTCCGCTTCGCCCCCCCAGCGGCGTTCTGCGTTGCGTTTCGGTCGAAATACACCAGGTATTCCTCCCTCACGCGCCTTGTCAGCCGGGCGCCTCGCCCCCACCGGGAGAACTGGCCGGGCTCGGCGCTCACCCGGGTTCCACCACAGGCTGCTAGCCCCGCGGAGACCCCGGGCTGTTCACCGCCAACTGCCGTTTCAAGACCGCAATCGGCTCGCAGACCGCGTGACGGGACTAGGATTCCCGTAGGCGAGCCGCGTTTTCACCGCGGCCCCGACACCGGATGAGTGAAGAGGAGAGATTCCCGCGAATTGTCGTCAGGGACCGCCGTGCCTTTGCGCCCGACGGTTCCCGCCGCGCGGATGCGGATCCGCGGAACGAGACGCCTGCTTCCACCCCCTCGCTTGGGGCTCCACCGGGCGCTTCGCTTGGGGCTCAACCGGGCGCCTCGACCGGGTCTCCCTCCGGGCCCGCCGGGTCGGCTGCGGACCCGGGTTCCGCACCCGAGGAGGACCCTCGGTTCAAACAACTCATATCCCTGCTCTTTTCCCAGGCGGCGATGCTTCTGGAGGAGACTTCCGGGGCAGACGGCAAGTCCGGATCGGCGACTGGCCCGCAGCAAACCGAAGCGCTGCAGGGACTCCAGGCGGTGATCGGCCTGCTGGAGGTACTCGAAGAAAAAACCAGCGGTCGCCTCGCTCCCGGTGACGCCCGTCTGGTTTCCCAGGCCCTCTACCAGTTGCGGATCGCTTACATGGAACGCGCGAAGGCGCCCGGCACATGAGAATCGAGCGGCTTGACGAACTGCCAACCGCGTCCCGTCACTCCCGTGAGGGCAAGGGCGGCGGTGCGGCGGACTCAGCAGTGGTTGCCGTTGGGAACTTTGACGGAGTCCACCGCGGTCACCTGGCGGGCCTCGACCTGGCCCGACAGGAAGCGCGGAGACACCGCGCCGAGTGCGTCGCGGTTACTTTCGATCCTCATCCTGCTCGCCTGCTGCGGCCTGACCGGGCGCCCAGCACAATCACCAGTTTTCCCCTGAAGGCCGAGCGGTTGGCCGCCGCCGGCGTCGAACGTCTGGTGGTGCTCGAGTTCGGCGAGGCGATGGCGCGGACGTCGCCCGCCGACTTCGTAAATCGACTTCTGATCGGCCGGCTCGGAGCCGCCGCCGTGGTCCAGGGGGCGAACTTCCGGTTCGGCCGCGGCCGGACCGGGAGTCTGGAGACGCTTCGTGATCTTGGTGAGCGCCACGGCTTCTCGGTGATCGAAGCGCCGTCGGTGACGTGGGAAGGGGAGATCGTTTCGTCGACGAGGATTCGTCGGGCGCTTACCGCGGGTGAGCTCGACCTGGCGACGAACCTCCTTGGTTGGGCGTATGAGATCGAGGGCTCGGTGGTTTCGGGACGGGGGCGGGGTCGCGGCCTCGGTTTCCCGACCGCGAACATTTCCGCCGACAGCGACGTGCTGCTGCCTCACGGGGTGTACGCCGCGGATGCCGTAACCGCTCCCGAGGGGCATCTCTTCCGGGCGGTGGTCCACTACGGCCCGCGGCCCACCTTCGACGATTCTCCTTCGCTGGAGGTGCACATGATGGGATTCTCCGGTGGGGTGTCCCGCCTCCGGGTGCGCTTCTTGTCCCATCTGCGAGAGGTCCGGGGTTTCGCCGGGCCACAAGCCCTGCGGAGACAACTTGAACGCGATGTGGCGCGAGCTCGTGATCTGGTCGCGTTGCCTGCGCCCGAGGCGTTGCCTCGGGCCGCGGAGGTGGTACTTGCCGGGTAGAACAACAGCCTGTGGTGAAACCCAGGCGGCGTTCGCCCGGCGATGCATCCCGGCTGAACCACTCCGCTTCGCCCCCCCACCGGGAGAACTGGCCCCACCGGGAGAACTGGGCCTCACCGGGCTCGGCGCTCACCCGTGTTCCACCACCGGCTGTTAAGCCCTGCGTCGGAGATGCTTTCCCATGCGTGATCTGGAAGTCGCCACCCGCCGCGCCGCCGAGGCCGTCGTAGTGGAGCCGCGGGGCTTCATCAATGCGCACACCGTGGCCGAGTTCGAAAGGGTGCTGAACGCGCTCGTCGAGGCCGGGGACGTGCGGATCGTGATCAGTGGCGCTCATCTTTCCTATGTGGCCAGTGCCGGCTTCGGGGCGATCATGGGCCTCATCGAAGAAGCCCGGGCGGGTGGCGGAGACATCCGCGTGGCCGCGCTTACCGAGACCGTCGCCCATATTTTCCGGGTGCTGGGCTTCGACCGCCTGTGCCGTACCTTCGAGACCGAGGAGGAAGCGGTTCTCAGCTTTGGAGGCTACTGACCTGTCGAACGGGGAAAGAGCGCCGCTCCAGATCGACGTTCCGGCAACCTGCGAGTGCCTGAGCCTGGTGCACGAGGCGACGCGGCGGATGGCGATTGCTGAAGGTTTCGATCCGGCTGCCGCGGAGGAGATCGCGGTGGCGGTTGGAGAGGCGATGACCAACGTCGTCAAACATGCGTACCGCGGCAAACCGGGTCATGCGATTCGGCTGCGCTATCTCCCGGGGCCCGAGACGCTGCGGATCGAGCTGGAACACCGCGGCGATGCGCCACGGCGCCTTCCGACCGGGGTGGATCTCGGACGGTTGGCGCGCGAGCGGCGCCGGGGCGGGTTGGGGGTTCATCTCATGCGTCGGCTCATGGACCGGGTGGTTCACGAACAGTTGGGAGGCGGTCTCGGATGCTGGGTGCTCGAACGCAATCGGTGCGATTCTGGTTGCGGTTCATCGGGTGCCACGTCGGGGCGGGAGTCCTGATCCGGTGAAGACGGGGCCAGACTGCGGCTCCCGCTGGTCCGTATCGGCGCGATCTCCTCTACCGCGCGGTGCGACGCTGCGGGGGTGCCCCTCATGACCACGCGTACGACTCGAGGGATCGAACCGGACCGGCCTTCGCCCTCCGGGACGCGATACCAGCGGTTGTTCGCGCAGCATCTCGGGGAAATGAACCCCGCCGTGGAACGCCGGGTGTCGGAACTGCTGGCACTCACCGATTTCACGGCGGCGGCCTTCGAACTGCTGAGCGCAGCTGAGGTGGCGTCTCTCATTGTGCTGGTAGCGCTCGGCGAGTCTGGAGCCCGCTGGGCAGGCATGCTGCTGCCCGATGAGGCAGGACAGTTGTGTCCGGCAGGTCGCCGGGGTGCCGAAAACCCCGGCTGGGAAGATCTGAGACTGGAAGTGCCGGACCGCCTCCCGGAATCCCTCGTACTGCGGGCCGGCGGCGAGGATGCGGAAGAGGAACCTACCGCTCGTCCTTTTCGCCAGTTGATGCGCGACGCGGGGGCGTCATCCGTGACGCTTCTTCAGACTCGGGACGGGCTCCGTGGAGTACTCCTGCTGGGCGCGCCCCATCCCGAGCTGGCGGGGTCGCAGAGCGATTTCCTCGAGGTGTTTGCGGCTTCCGCGGCGGCCGCGCTCGAAAAATGCCGCCGGGATGAGGAACTGCGGGTGGCGAACCGCCGGCTCTCGCTGCATGTCTACCAGCTTCGTTCGCTGATGGACCTGACCGCCGGGCTGCATCGGGCTCGTGATGAGGCGGCGGTTTGGGATCTGCTGCTCCACGGTGCGATGGGTCATGTGTTGGCCAGCCGGGCGGCCGTAGTGGTCGGGGGGAGGGTTGCGGCTGCCAAGGGGCCGAGGCGTCCCGACGAGGACGGGGCTCAGTTCGTGCGCGCCGCCGAGATCCTGGCCGGCGAGCACAAGATTCGTCCGACCGCTGATATTTCCCACTGGAGCACGTCCTGCGAATTGGCGAGACTGGAGATCGGCTGGATTGTGCCGTTCACCTCCGGAGCGGTACAGGGGACATTGTTCCTGGGCGCGGCCGGGTTCGGTCGGGAACTCTCGTCGGCGGACCGGGCCTTCCTGACGTCTCTCGCCGGACAGGCGTCCGCCGCGGTCGAAAGCCTGCGCCTCACCCGCGCCTCCATTCAGAAAGAGAAGGAACTCGAGGTGGCGCGCCGGATTCAGACCCGCTTTCTGCCAGCGGAAGCTCCGGAATATCCCGGGTGGGACCTGTGGGGGATCAACATTCCCTGTCTTGCCGTCGGGGGTGACTACTACGATTACCTCACCCTGGATGGAGCCATATTCGTCACGATCGCTGACGTGTCGGGGAAGGGAGCCGGGCCGGCTCTCATCATGGCTTCGGTTCAGGCATCGCTGCGCGCTTTCTTCCGGCACGGTCGGCCCGGGATCGCCAGTGCCGCAGAGGAACTGAATCACCATCTCCACCGGAACACGGAAGACAGCCGCTACATGACCGCCATCCTGGCCCGGCTCGAACCCTCGACCGGCCGGCTCGACTATCTGAACGCCGGGCATGTCCATCCGGTGTTGGCCCGGGCCGACGGTTCCGTCGAGCGTCTTGATCGGGGTTCGACGGTGCTCGGCCTGTTTCCCGACATCGACACCGAAGTCGGCACCTGCGAACTTGCTCCCGGGGATCTGGTCGCCATGTTCACCGACGGACTCAGCGAGGCTGAGGATCCGGCGGGCGGCCTCTTCGATGACGCCCGCATCGTGGACGCGTTGATCGCCGCTCGCTCGCTGAGCGCGCGCAACATTTGCGGGGATCTGCTTTCGCGGGCTCGGGCCTTCTCCGGACCAAACCCGCTCCGCGATGACCTCACCCTGGTCGTCCTGAAGCGTGGTCCACGCGAGTAGTCACGAGTAGTCGATGTCCGGGAAAAGCACCTTCCGGCTCCGCAACACCCTCGGCGGCCGCATTCAGCCCTTCCAGCCGAAACGTACGGACGAGGTCCGGATGTACACGTGCGGACTCACGGTGTACGCCCGGGGACACATCGGGAACTTCCGTACCTTTGTGGCCCAGGACATCCTTCGCCGCTTCCTTCGTTTCAAGGGCTACCGGGTCCTTCAGGCGATGAACTTCACGGACGTCGACGACAAGACCATCCGGGGTGCGGGGGAGGCGGGCGAGCCGCTGCGCGATTACACGACCCGCTACATCGAAGAGTTCTTCGACGATGCCGACGCTCTCGGCATCGAGCGCGCCGAGCACTATCCGCGAGCCACCGACCCCGAGTACATCGAGGCGATGATTCGGCTGGTGACGCAACTACTGGAGAAAGGGGTCGCCTACGAGTCCGACGGCTCCATCTATTTCCGGGTTGCGAGCTTCCCCCGCTATGGGCAGCTCTCCGGCGCGGCGGCCTCCGACCGCCTCGCCGGCGCCCGCGTGGACTCCGACGAGTACGACAAGGAAGACGCGCAGGACTTCGTCCTCTGGAAGGCGGCGAAACCGGGTGACCCGGTCTGGGATGCGCCTTTTGGCGCCGGCCGTCCGGGTTGGCATCTGGAATGTTCGGCAATGGGATTGGAACTTCTCGGCCCGGGTTTCGACCTGCACTGCGGCGGCGTGGATCTCGTGTTCCCGCACCACGAGAACGAGATCGCCCAGAGCGAGGCCGCGACCGGGAGCCCCTTCGTTCGTCATTGGTTCCACTGCGAACACCTGCTGGTGGACGGCCGAAAAATGTCCAAATCGCTCGGCAACCAATTCACCGTGCGCGAGTTGATCGACGAGGGTTTTGCGCCAGCCACGATCCGTCACCTGCTGGCCGGGGTGCACTACCGCCAGCAACTGAACTTCACGAAGGGCGGCCTCCGGCAGGCGGAAGTCGCCATCGGCCGGGTCAACGAGTTCCTGCGCCGTTCGGACGAGGCGGCCCGCCGCGAGGGAGACTCCGCGAATGAGGGCACGGCGTCTCCCGGCGGCGCCGCGACCGGGGTCGCCGAAGCCCTGGTTCGTTTCGAGGAAGCTCTGGATGACGATCTGAACACGTCGAAGGCGCTCAGCGAGGTGTTCACCGCTCTGAGGGAAGGGAACCGGGCGCTCCATGCACCCGGAGGAGCCTCCGAGGCGGGGGTCTGGGCAGCGGCGATCCGCAGGATGAACACGGTCTTCGGCAGCTTCGAGATGGCCCCCGACCCGGAGACCGGCAAGCGGGTCGACGAGCCGGCCGACCTTGCCGAGTTGATCCGTGAGCGCCAGGAGGCGCGCGGGCGAAGGGACTTCGCTCGCGCTGATGAGATCCGGGACGATTTGGCCGCTCGCGGGATCCTTCTCGAGGATTCTTCGTCGGGCACAATTTGGCGGCGGGGCGAGGACTGAGCGCTCGGGCGGCCATGGTCCGGCGGTGCGTGGCTCGCTGGCCATTCCGGCGACGAGCGCCACATCTGAGGCTCGGCGCCCGTGGCGAGCGGATCGCCGCCCGGGTTCTTCGCCGGTCCGGGTACCGGGTAGTGGCGAGGAACTATCGTCCCGGCCGCCGGCGAAGCGATGCGGAACTGGACATCGTGGCATGGGAGGGAGACACCCTCGCCGTCGTCGAGGTCAAGACCCGTCGGGGCGGCTTCGGAGATCCGGCGGAGCGGGTCGACCGCGAAAAGCGCCGCCGGATCCGGCGCTCCGCAGCGCGGTTGTGGCGGCGGGAAACGTCCCGAAAAAGGATCCCCCCGGGATCGCACCTCCGCATGGATGTGGTGGAGGTTTGGTTTCCCGCTATGCGTTCCCGGCGCCTCCTGGCTCGCTTCCGGGAGGTCTTTCGCCGCCCCACCGTACGGATCCGGCGCGGCGCGTTCTGAGCCGGGTGGAGCCCGGACGGCGCGGTATACTCGCCGGCCTTTCTCCAAGGCCGGGCGGGACTAACTCAGTGGTAGAGTGCAACCTTGCCAAGGTTGAAGTCGCGGGTTCGAATCCCGTGTCCCGCTCCAGCTATGGGTCGGTCAGGGCGGCGTAGCCAAGTGGCCAAGGCGGAGGTCTGCAAAACCTCTATTCGGCGGTTCGAATCCGCCCGCCGCCTCCGCCACTTATCCTGACCGGATGCGCCGCTGACGGCGCGTCCGGTGCGTGTAACCGTCGTTGCGGCGATGGGAATCGCCGCCAGACAGTCTGGCCGGGATGGCGAAATCGGCAGACGCGGGAGACTTAAAATCTCTTGTCCCTCACGGGACGTGCGGGTTCGAGCCCCGCTCCCGGCAGGAGGTCGAGCGGACCCCGGACGGGGCCACGGATCCCAATGGCCCCGGGTTGTTAGGGTTCGTTAGTTTGGGGCCCCGTCCGGGGTCCGCCCGGCGCTTCGCGCCGGCAATCGAAACTTCCTTGCCCGCCTGCGGCGGGCTGCGGCAAGTTCCGATTGGTCGTTACTGATTGTGAAAGGGGGGCGTGCCCCCCTTTCACACTTTCCCCCCGGACACGCTGGCGTCAAACCCTCCGGGTTTGCCGCCACTGTTTTTCGGACGGGAGAGTGCCCGCGGGAAGGGAACCCCGACCTCTGGTCGGCACCGCTGCGCGAAGCGCAGCGAGCGGCGGATCGCTCTTTTCTTTCACGCCACGCCGGCCAGGGAACGCCGACCTCCGGTCGGCACCGCTGCGGGAAGCGCAGCGAGATGGCGGATCGCTCTTTTCTTTCACGACGCGCAGGTCAGGGAACGCCGACCTCCGGTCGGCACCGCTGCGCGTCGCGCAGCGAGATGGCGGATCGCTCTTTTCTTTCACGACACGCAGGCACGGGAACGCCGACCTCTGGTCGGCACCGCTGCGGGAAGCGCAGCGAGATGGCGGATCGCTCTTTTCTTTCACGACGCGCAGGTCAGGGAACGCCGACCTCCGGTCGGCACCGCTGCGGGAAGCGCAGCGAGCGGCGCCCAGCCGAACTCTTTCACGGAACGCGGGCCAGAGAAGGCCGAGTTCTCCAGGCGGCATTGCCTCTCGCAGGAAGGCGAAATGCGAAACGCCGATCAGCGAGATCGCGCGAATCCGGACCGTCGGGGCGTTTACAATCCGAAATGAACCCGAGTGGTCCACTGCGCTCCGGCTTATGGAACCGAACGGGAGTCACCACTGCCGGGTGGGACGCGCCTCCCGCAATCGGCGCCAATCGGCGCCGGGCGGGAAGCCCGAGCCCGGCACGCGACGCCCACCTACGACATCGTAGGACGGAACCAGAGGACCGCCGGGTTCACCAGGAGCGCCGGTCTTCAGACCGGCATCGCCGCCGCAGGCGGCGAGACTGAAGGGCGTCCCGACGCCATCTACCCCAGCGCCTGGTCCAGATCGGCGATCAGGTCATCTGGATGCTCTAATCCGACGGACACCCGAATGAGATCGCGGGGGGTCTTGGTGTCCGGTCCCTCGACGAGCGCGCGGTGCTCTACCAGGCTTTCGACGCCGCCGAGGCTTGTTGCCCGCGTGAAGAGCTTGACGCGCGAAAGCACGCCCTTCGCGTGATCCTCTCCTCCGAGGGCCCGGAAGGAGAGCATGGCGCCGTAACCGTCCCCCTGGCGGGTCTGGACTTCGTGTCCGGGATCTGAAGCGAGCCCCGGATAGAAGGTTTGGACGACGCGGGGATGGCCGCTCAGGAACTCCGCGAGCTTTCCCGCGGTCGCCGACTGGGCCCGGATCCGGACGGGCAGGGTTCTCATCCCTCGGCGGAGCAGCCAGGCGTCGAACGGCGATGGCACCGGGCCGGTCTCGGTTTGCACGAAACGCAGCCGGGAGGCGAGTTCGAGACCCTCCCGCAGCACGACCGCTCCGCCGGTTACGTCGCTGTGCCCGCCGAAGTACTTCGTGGTGGCGTGGATCACGATGTCCGCGCCGAGAGCGAGTGGCCGCTGAAGAACCGGTGTCATCCAGGTGTTGTCCACGGCGATCAGCGCTCCCGCGGCGCGGCAGCGGGCGGCGACGGCCGCGATGTCGGTGATTCGCAGGGTGGGGTTCGAGGGGGTCTCCAGAATGACGAGCGCGGGCCGTTCGTCAAGGCCGGCGGTTACGTCCTCCGGGTCCAGGAAATCCGTGAAGCGGGTCCGGAGCCCCCAGCGAGCGAGAGACTCCTTCGCGAGGCGCACGGTCCCGTGATAGGCGTCCAGCGGCGCCAGGACGAGATCTCCGGGCGAGAGGGTCAGGAGAAGCGAATGAACGGCGGCGAGTCCCGAGGCAAAGCTCACGCACTCCGCGCCTCCCTCCAGGTCGGCGATCGCCCGCTCGAGCGCCGTCCGATCCGGATTGCCGCTGCGTCCGTAGATGAAGTCCGAAGCGAGGTTCCCCTCGGGATCCCGCCGGAAAGTGGTCGAGAGGTGGATCGGCGGCGCCACCGCCCCCGCCAGGTTCTCGGAGGAGCCGGCGTGCACGCTCCGGGTCTCGATCCGGTAGTTCTTCGTTTGGGCCATGCGGGGCATTATGCGGTTCGGACCCGGCGGCAGCGTCCACCGGGGCACTAGACTGCCGCCCACTCTTGCGCGACGCGAACAAACGGGCAGGTCCAGTGCGTCTCCCTTCCGAGGAGTCGAAGGATGCGCCGGTTGATCCACTTCGGGAGGAACGAGCCCTGGAGGATGCAGAGGAGCGCCGCCTGTTTCAGAGGTTTCGGGAGGCGGGGGACCTATCTGCCTTCGACGAACTCGTTCGCCGCACCGAAAGCCGCGTTCGTTCGGTGGCCCTCGCCATCCTCCGGGATCGGGCCGAGGCCGAAGACGCGGCCCAGGAGGCCTTTCTCCGGGCCTTCAGGCGCGCTTCCAGCTATCGGGGAGAGGGGCCGGTGGGCGCCTGGCTATGCCGGATCGCGGTCCGTTCGGCCCATGACGCGCTCCGGCGGGCCGGCAGGCAGCGGCGACTCATCGAAGTCGCGAAGCAGCCTGGAGATGTGGAGGCGGAAGCCGGAAGCGTTGACCCGGAGGAGGAATTGCGGCAGCGGACCGAGATGGATTCGGCCCTTCGGACGCTGCCCGCAGACGAGCGGGAGGCGCTGGTGCTGAAAGAAGTAGCAGGAATGACCTACCGGGAAATCTCCGAGTCGTGTGACGTTCCGCTCGGGACCGTCCAGTCCCGGATTCATCGGGCGCGCCTGCGCCTGGCCGATGCCCTTGGTCCACGGAGTTGAGCGGAAAATGAAAGACCAGGAACTTGAACTTCTTTCCGCGTATCTGGACGGTGAACTCTCGCCGAACCAGCTTCGCGAGGTAGAGGAACGCCTCAACGCCGATCCGGGGCTCAGGCAGGAGTACCACCGCCTCCAGCAGGTTTCCGCAGTCCTCCAGGTCCGCTGCGAGGCCGATCCCGGATTCCTCGTTCGGCATCGTCAGCGGCGTGATGATCTGTCACCGATCCGGCAATGGACCTGGAGGCAGTTGGGATACCGGCTGACCGGGGTGGCCGCCGGAATGTTGATTGCCGCCGGTCTCAGCGTCTGGCAGGCCGAATGGCAGGCAGTGGACACGCCCGCGAACGCCACTGCGGAAGCCGAGGAGCTGGATTTGCTCGACTTCGAGGGCCAGATCCTTGGGGGGCAGATCCCTATCGCGCCGGATTTCGAATCCCTGGCGGACACCGATCCCACTGAGGAGCCGGTACTCCTGATTGCGCTGGGCGGCGGCTTCCTGCCCTCCGGGGGACGCTGATGCCCGAAGAGAACCTGGCCCCGGCGTCCGAGTCGGCGAACCGGCGCTGGAAGCGGTTGATGCCGCTGCTCCTGGTGCTTGTCGGCTTCGGCGCCGGAGTGCTGGCGAGCCACCTGGCGCCGCCAATGAGAAGGCATCGGGGCGCGAGCGGCGAACACCGCATGGGCACTCGGGACGACTCCGACCGCCGGTCGGGGCGGCGCCCCGGCGAGGGGGCCGAACAAGGCCGTTCCCGCAGCCGCGAGGCTCGGGAAGGCGACGACCGAAGCCGCCGGTTCCGCGCACAACTCGTCGAGCGCCTCGGTCTCGACGAGGACCAACAGGCGCAGATGGAAGCCTTCATCGAGTCGAACCGCGCCGAAGCCAGTGCATTCTGGGATGACACCTACGTCCGCTACCGCGAACTTCGGCTGCGCTTCCGCGAGCAGATCAGCGAGATCCTCACTGAGACGCAGCGCGAGACCTTTGAGGAGTGGATCCGCCGTAGAGAGCGGAACGATCGGGGCGCCGATTCCGTAGAGGATTCCGCGGAAGGGGCGCCCCCCGGAGGGAGAGGACGATGACGGGAGAAAGAAGATGAGCGCGCCGGACCAGCACCGACACTCACACAGTCAGGAAGAGGTCAAGGAACGCGGCAACGCGCTGGCGCGCTTCGCCGTGGATCGCCGGGTCACGATCAGCATGATCGCCGTGGGGCTGATCGTGCTCGGATACGTCTCGCTCACCCGGCTCCCCCTCGAATTCCTCCCCTCGTTCGGGGCCAACAGCCTCTGGGTGAGTGTCGATTACGAGTCCTCCTCGCCCGAGGAAACGGAGCGGTTGGTGGTCCGGCCGCTTGAGGAGAGTCTCGGGACCATCCCGGGCATCACCGTCCTTACCGCCACCGCGAACGCCAACAGCGGCAACGTGAGCATCGAGTTCAACGAAGCGGCGGACATGGATCTGATGGTCGTGGAGGCCCGCGACCGGGTGGACCGGGTCCGCCATCTCCTTCCCGACGACATCGAACGCATCAACATCCGGCGCTTCCAGAGCAGCGACATCCCCATCCTCCAGTTCCACCTGGGGGCTCCCTGGGAACGGGAACGCCTCTTCGACTTCGCCGAAGACTTCGTGCAGCCCCGGCTCGAGCGGCTTGAAGGCGTGGCCAGCGTGGACGTCCGGGGCGTCCGCCGACGGGAATTGCGGGTGAGCATGGATCAGCGGCGGATGGCGGCGCTGAACGTGGATGTCCGGGATATTTCGACGGTTCTGTCCCAGAACAACGTCAATGTTTCCGGCGGCACCATCACCGACGGATCCCGAAAGTTCATTGTCCGGACGGTCGGAGAGTTCCGCCGCCCGGAGGAGATCCGCGAAACCCCGATCGGCGATGCCGGACTGCGGCTGAGCGACGTCGCCGACGTCACCTATGAGTTCCCCACCCAGACTTCGTTCGACTATCTGAACGGCGAAGAAGCGGTCACCTTCCGCGTCTACAAGGCGTCCAACGCCAACGTGCTCGATGTCGCCGACGGCGTCAAGGCGGAGATGGCGGAGGTCGCGTCGATATCCCGGTACGAGGATATCGACGTCCGTTACATCCAGGACTCTTCGGTCGACGTTCGCGGGGGGCTGTCGCAGCTCGCCCTTGCCGGGCTCTTTGGCGGAGGGCTCGCCATGCTCATCCTGCTCCTGTTCCTGCAGAAGGTCCGGACCACCCTGCTGGTCGCGGTGGCGATCCCGCTCTCGATCGTCACCACCTTCGTGATCATGTATCTGGGCCGGCAGACGGGCCTCGTCGACACCACTCTGAACGTGATCAGCCTCTTCGGGTTGATGGTGGCCGTCGGCATGCTCGCCGATCCGGCAATCGTTGTCATCGACTCGATCTCGCGTCATTTCACCGAGTACAAGGAAGACTCCCGGACTGCGGCGATCCACGGCGCCTCCGCGGTGACGATGCCGATCGTTGCCGGTGCGGCGACCACGATGTGCGTGTTCCTCCCACTCGTTTTCCTCGGCGCGACGATGGGGGGCTTCTTCCGCATCTTCACCGACTTCGGGTTCACCCTGAGCGTGGTGATCGTGGCTTCCCTGCTCGTCGCGCTCACGGTCGTGCCCATGATGGCGGGCGTCGTCCTCCGCAACGAGCGACGTGTCTATTCGCGGACGATGCGCCTCCTCGGCCGTCTCCACGGAAAGATCATCCGGCGCACCCTCCAGCATCGGCTCGTTTCGCTCGGCGTCGCGATCGGTCTGCTGGGACTGGCCTGGATCCTCTACCAGAACATCGAGCGGTCCAGCTTCAGCTCGACGGTGGAACGGCAGGTCACCATCAACGTGGACGTGCCCCGGGCCTACTCGATGGACGAAACCCGGGAGGTGATGGAGTCGGTGGCGGCGCTCATCGAAGAGCGGCGCGAAGAACTCGAGATCGCCGACGTGGTCTACGAGTTCCGCCGCGGGGGCGGACGTTCGCGGGGCGGCTATGGCGGCGGTGGCCGCCGGTTCAACCTCTACCTGGTTGACGAAATGGAGTCCGAGCGGAGCGTCCAGGAGATCACCGGCGAGATCCGGGAAATGCTCCCGACGGTCGCCGGTGTTGACTTCCGGATCGCCGAGAGTCGGGGGCACGGTCCCGGTGGCGGCAGCGGAATCCGCCTGGACCTGAAGGGCGACGACATGGACGTGCTCGAACTGATTTCGGGCCGCGTCGTCGAACGGCTGGCAACCCTTCCCTGGATCCGGGACGTGGACACCTCGCTCGAGAGCGGAACCGAAGAGCTTCATGTCACCCCGCTGGCGGAACGGGCGCTCGCTTCCGGTTCAGGGACCAGCGCGGTGGCCCAGACCGTTCGCAGTGCATTGACTTCGCGACCGGTGGGGACCATCGAGAGCGACCAGCGGGAAGTGGACATCGTCGTCCAGTACCCCGAGGAGCAGCGCGAGCGGCTCGATCACCTCCGCAGCATGCCGGTCTTCGTGGGCGGCGCCCGGGTGCCCGTCGGCGCGATGGCCGACTTCGAGATGGTGAGCGGCCCCCGCAGCATCGAGCGCGAAGATCGCCGTCCCAAGCTCACCATCAGCGCGAACACCACGGTTCCGGGAGCTTCCTTCCGGCTGATGGGTCAGGTACAGGAACAGCTCGCCGACATCGCGTTGCCGCCCGGCTACGAGTGGAGCTTCGACCGGTGGAGCCGTATGGGCCAGGCGGACTTTTCGTCAGCGGGGTTCGCCTTCGCTTTTGCGCTGCTGCTGATCTACCTGATCATGGTGGCGCTTTTCGAGAGCTTCCTCCATCCGGCGGTGATCATGTTCTCGATCCCGTTTTCGTTCATCGGGGTGGCGGTAACGCTCAAGCTCACCGGTCAGACGCTCGGCAACACCGCAATGCTGGGCCTCGTGCTCCTCGCCGGGATTGTCGTGAACAACGCCATCGTGTTGATCGCACACGTCAACACGCTCCGCCGTGAGGGTATGTCCCGGGACGAGGCGCTCGTTCTCGGGAGCGAGCATCGGCTGCGGCCGGTGATGATGACCGCCCTGACCACCTTTTGCGGCCTGATGCCGCTCGCGGCGCCGTACTTCCTGCCGGGGCTCTTCGGGTCCGCGGATGGGCGCGCCGGACAATGGGCGCCGATCGGCCTCGTGCTGGCCGGAGGACTGCCTACCTCCACCCTGCTCACCCTGCTCCTCGTGCCCACGATCTATGCCGTGACCGACGATCTCAAGCGCCTCATCTGGCCCTACACCACAGCCCCGGAAGTGCCGGTGGCCAGCGAGCCCGCAAT